GAGTTGGAGGTTGCTGTGAGCTGTAATGCCATGGCACTCTACCCAGGGGGACAGCTTGAGGCTCTGTCTCAAAAAAAAAAAAAAAAGAAAAAGAAATAAAAGAGGGAGGAGGTGGAGCATGTAGTATGATTTTTTTTACTCCCTTGCAAATAACGGTGATTGGTATTCAATCCACACGTATTTACTGAACATCATGTTTTTGCTCTTGAAACTGTATAGGGAGGTGGAGGAGGGATGGGGGAGTTGAGATGGCTAAGAAGTTGTGTTGCTCATCATCGGTGATCCTACAGGCTTACACTTTTCATTCAGGTTAGTATTTTGTGACTAGTAGTATATTAACAAAAATGACATGGGTTTTTTGTTTGGTTTGGGGGTTTTTTGTTTGTTTTCAGTTGTTTTTTGGTTTTGTTTTTGAGACAGAGTCTCACTTTGTCGCCCTGGGTGTCTAGAGTACAGTGCCATCATCATAGCTAACAACAACCTCAAACTCATGGGCTCAAGCAAACCTGCCTCAGCCTCCTGATCAGCTGAGACTACAGGCATGGGCCACACCACCTGCAAAAAACTCTTATTTTTTGTAGACGTAGGGTCTCACTCTTGGCTTAGGCTGGAAAAATGACATGATTTTCATTAAATAGATGAGGTAGTGTGGTCTTAGAGGAAAGCATTGTATACCCAATTCCCACTTCTTTGATTTTCTCTTGACCACCCTTTAGAACCTGTGTGTTAAAAGTTTTAGGGAACCTCTCATACATGGCACACTGGTATTGAGAAAATTAGTGCTTAAAGTCATCTGACCCTGTTCTGTATAAATCTGGATATGCTTTTCTTTTTAAAAATTAAAATCAGGCGGTGCCTATAGCTCAAAGGAGTAAGGCGCCGGCCCCATATACCAGATGTGGCAAGTTCAAACCTGACCCTGGCCAAAAACTGCAAAAAAAAAAAAAAAAAAAAAATCATTGAAAAAAGGCGGAAAATGTAGACTTTGATTTACTTATCCACTGATTAATCTTGTGACTTTTCTTTTGTGAAAACTGATAGATAATAGTCTCAAAGATTAATAAAGATTTGTGAAAGTAGTAACAATATAGAAACCCAAAATGATAGGAGATACTACTTCTTTTTCAGAAGGAAATGATTGGAAAAATAGGGTAATTTATGTTTAAAGACTGTTATTTCATCCTTGGTATATGTGAATCCATGAAATAATGAAACCCTATAGGAAGATTCCCACCTTACTTAGGATCACAATATAAAGACACTACAAAAAGAATATTTTGTGCCATTAAATTCCCTGTGCTAGTCACTGGCCACATGTATATTGGATAGTTTCAGTTCAGTTACTGGCAATTCTTTGTTTTACTCATCAAACCCTTTTAACATTAACAGCTATTTGGTTAATAACACATGACTTTAAAAATTCCCTCATTTTACATTTTTTAATTCCTTGATTTTATACTTTAAACAAATTTAAAATTTGCATAACTTTACAAAGATGCATGTACAGTAATGTTCCTTACAGCAATGTGTATAAAGCAAACGTTGAACCCAAATATCTGTAAACAAACTTTGTTTTTAATTCAGGTAAACATTAAAAATGATGAAGTAGATCTATAATTATTAATATAAAAAGTTATTTTCCAGATAGTGATTTTCTTTTTTTAAGATTACAAAAGCAGACTATAAAGTAAACCCTTTTTTAAAAATCTTATGTTTAGAAAATACAGGAATAAATACATCAAAATGTTAACAGTTTTCTCTGAATGGATTTACAGACGGTCTTTACTTTCAGCTGTGTTATGTATTGTCCGAGGTGGGGTTTGGTTTGCTTTGGTTTGGTTTTGAGACAGTCTCACTTTGTCACCCTTGGTAGAGTGCTATGGAGTCACAGCTCACAGTAACCTCAAACTCTTGGGCTCAAGTGATTCTCTTGCCTCAGCCCCCCAGTTGCTGGAACTACAGGCGCCTGCCACAATGCCTGACTATTTGCTAGAGACAAGATCTTGCCCTGGCTCAGGCTGGTCTCAAACCTGTGAGCTCAGGCAATCTACACACCTCAGCCTCCCATAGTTGCTAGGATTACAGGCATGAGCCACCACACCCGGCCTTTCTGAGATGATTTTTAAAGTTACTATTAATTATTGTTTTCAATAAAATCAACTTTGAAAAGGTAAAAGAACCCTGAAGGAAATAAAATGTGGTTTAAGCATTCAAAAGAATTTTTGTATCATCCATGCTAACGGTGTTATCAGCCCTTGTTTGACATTGTTTCCCCTTCTGTCCCCACTGAAACACTGTTAACAGCGATGGAACACTTTGCCCCGCCCTGCAGCTTCCTGTTGTCTTTATCCTTCATTTGTCTCCCTCTACATACTTTGAGCTAAAATGACAGGCCTGTCTTCCCAGCGTGTACACACTGAGGACGCTATTTGAGTAGAACACTTTAATGTCGCCAGTCCTCCTTCTGACAGAAATTCTTACCTCAATCAATAACTTAGACTGTTGAGTGTGTTTCACTGATAGAACTTGTATTTAATTAAGCTCTTGTCTTGAGTGATGTAGACTTAAGCTACTGAGAATGCCCAAATTTCACCCTAGTCTTTGCATTCTGGACTGCTAGGAATTGAAACAAGATCATTCTTTTCAAAAGTGGAGAAATGTGGCTCAGATTTCAATTAAGGTCATGACTTAGTCTTAACTGAAAGATCACGTATTTTAAAAAGTATCTTGGTCAATACTCAGGTTTTTTGTATATCTACACTTGGTATTACTGGTTTAAATTTTTTTGAATCTTGGCTGGAGGCTGGGCTTGGTGACTCATGCCTGTAATCATAGCACTCTGGGAGGCCAAGGTGGGTGGATTGCCTGAGCTCACAGGTTCAAGACCAGCCTGAGCCAGAACCAGACCCCCGTCTCTAAAAATAGCCAGGCATTGTGGGGAGCACCTATAGTCCCAGCTACTTGGGAGGCTGAGGCAAGAGAATCACCTGAGCCCAAGAGTTGGAGGTTGCTGTGAGCTATGACGCCAAGGCACTCTACCAAGGGCAACAAAGGGAGACTCTTGACTCAAAATAAAAATAAATGAATCTTGGCTGGGCTGATTTTAATAGTAGAGTTTTAGTTTCAGCATTTAGGAAAATGACTAAGAATCACGAAGAGTAGACAGAAAGGCAGAAGTTCTGAACACACTTCATAGTATCAGGAAGTGTATTAATTGTATGTGATATAAGTAAATTATTCTCCCTAGAATAATAAGCTCAGCACAATTTCAAGAAAACTTAAGCAAGGCCTTGTTGAACAGGCTTTCAAAGGCTTTGTTATCTGCCTCAACAGATCGATTCAAAGGTAATGTTTCTGTTATACCTTTCATACTGAGAAGGTCAGACCATGAGTATCTTACAAGGTAAGAGTCCCAGAATCTTCCCAAGTTACAGGTTGTCACAGACCTGAACCACAGACACACTTAAATACTCCCTACCTTTTTTTTTTTTTCATATTAAACAACAGCTTTTGCCAAGGTTTTTCTTTTTTCTCTCTCTCTCTTTTTTGAGACAGTCTCACTGTGTCGCCCTCAGGAGAGTGCCATGGCATCACAGCTCACAACAACCTCCAAATCTTGGGTTTAATTGCCTCAGCCTCCCAAGTAGCTGGGACTATAGGTGCCCACACAACACCTGGCTATTTTTGGTTGCAGTTGTCGTTGTTTAGCTGACCCGGGCCAGGTTTGAACCCACCAATCTGGGTGTATGTGGCTGGTGTCCTACCCACTGAGCTATGGGCGCCGCCCTGCCAATGTTTTTCATTTTCCCTTTGGTTCCTTTTTACCTGTCTTTTTACCTATACTGAAATTCTCAACACCAAAAATAGGGGTAGTGAAAATCAGGGGAAGAGTGAATTTAGAGAGTTGGAGGGAAAGGAGTGCAGTCTGGGATCTCTAGGAACCTAAGTTACTTTTTTTTAATTGCTTTAATTTTTTTCCCCGTCAGACGTTCATGCTATCCACGTGGGTAGAGAGGTATCTCCTAGCACCCCATCATTAGGAGGGTGACTTGGCTCCAAGAGGGCTTAGAGGAGCTCCGTCCTGTTTCTGTGGTGGGCAAGTGACTCACATTCCAGTTTCACTGTGTGTCAGCTCCCGCAGAGATCTGTTGTTAATATGTTCAAGTGTTAGTCATCGTGGTGAGTCTTAGCCGTTACTAGCATCTGTTGCTATTTTTGTAATACTGAGCTATGTAGATTTTGGTGTTCCCAGAGTTGTGGAAGTAGACCTTCTCTCCCCTCTTTCATTTGATCTGATAGCTACCACATGACTATTCATCTGAGGTCCTGGTGTCCCTTCAGAGCAGGTAATGAGGAGCACTGGTGCCCAGCCTGTGCTGCTGGCCAGGAGTAAGGAATTGCCCAGGCCATCTGAACCTCTTCCCAGAGAGCTCACGAGGGACCCTGGAGTCCCTCACCCACACCCACCTGCATTTTCTCAGGGAGATGTCTACTTAGAGACCAGGGGAGTAGGGTGAGAAGTGTGTGGTGGGGGCAGGAGAGAGAATAAGACTTGTCAAGAAAAATGACAAGAGGTATTAGTAAACCACATACTGATGATTCTGGGCAGCTGGTGAAATGTCAGCAGCGTGTCATTGGCTCTGCTATAGTGATGGTGGCCCAGGTTCGAACAGAAGTTTCTCACCTCCCCTCCGACTCCTTGAATGAAAGTCAGCTTCCTGAACACTCCTTTCCTCATGTAGAAAGAAGCAGAGATCCTGCTATTTACTGATTCCTGCCTCTGCTTCCCTTGCAGCTGACCCTCTGGTGGGCAGCATTGCCACGCAGTACATGACCAACAGAGCGGAGCACGACCGGATGGCCAGACAGTGGACCAAGCGGTACGCCACATAGGGGCCTGCTGCCCGCGCCCGTGCCGGACCTGTGCAAGCACATTCACCAAGTGCATCAATAGCCCTGCCCACCCCTCCAGACCTTGGTTCTTATTATCCTATTTTTATTAAATTTGGAACCATTTTGTGATGGTAATGTCATCTATCCCTCCTTCCCACTGCTGCTTCCCTCCCTCTCTCTCTCTCTTCCTCTCTCCCTCCCTCTCCCTCTCTCTCTCTCTACCTTTTTCTCTCTCTTTCCCCTCCCTCCCTCTCCCCACATCTCTCTCTCTTTTCTCATTGTATTCCCTTTTTGGTTTCTGTTAACTTGAAAGATTTGGGATTTTTTTTCCCCACCTCAACGTGGATGGGAACTTTTGTTTTCAGTGCAAACAATGTTGGATCTGTAATAGTAAGAGCTTTCTCACAAAGCTTTATATTACTGTGTGGTTTTGTTTTTTGTTGTTTGTTTTATTTTGATTTTTTTTCTTTTATGTGGTCTTTGGGAAAATACAGATTCAGAGTTATATCTCGTTTCTACTTAAATGTAGTGCTAGGGTTAATTTTTTGTACTGAAGTCTTTATTGGTGGGTGCATGCTACTGGGAACAAGTTTTTGTATAAAAGCTTCAATCAGAATCACTGTGCATTACTGAGACTCTGTTTATCACTAGCCTTCTGTCCCCCTTTGCAGAAGACTGTTGGATTGAACAAAATAATATGTATTTTGATTTACTTAAAGTGCTTGTAAATTTCTTAGGGACCTGCCACTTTTGACTGTGGATCAGTTGATGTACACTTGTATTATTATCAAAGCACTCAATAAATCACTGTGGCTGATAACTGCACTTCTGGTAATCTGGCGTTTGTTTTGTGTCCTGGTGACCCACATAGCCGTACATGCAGTGAGGCTTGTCTAATTCAATTACAGGTTCGAGTGTATTTTTCGTCTCATACCCCTGATATTTCTTTATAGTCGAGTTGCTTAGCATGTGGAATTTTTCCAGCTATCAGTAGCCTGGTGATCTTACTGTTGTTTTACCAGATCGCTATCATTTTATATATATCGGCTAGACACGGTTTCTGTTTACAGCCTTCTTTATTCACCAATTAAAACATCTGGCTCCAAAAATAGCCACCTTGTCAAAGTGTTCATTTGTGTTCAACCACTTTTGAGTTTATTTTTCTCTTCTTTTTCCTCTTTAAAATTGTTGTAGTGAGCAGCACCTGTGGCTCAAAGGAGTAGGGCACCGGCCCCGTATGCCAGAGGTGGTGGGTTCAAACTCAGCCCCCAGCCAAAAACTGCAAAAAATCAATAAATAATAAAATTGTTGTAGTGATTGCGTTCAAGCCTTGGTTCAGTTTTGTCTTCATAATTTTAGTGAACAGAGTTAACCTCAGCTTCATCAGTCATGGTCAACACATTCGTTGACAAGGGTATGTCTGTCTGACTTGAACTTAAAAGGCTACTTTCGTGCACAGCTACAGGAGGCAGGAAATGTGTGGGTGGTGTAGTCTGTAAAACACCCAGTTTGCTGACCGATGATCAGGGTTGTTGGTGTTACAAGGCAGCCTGGAAACCACTGCTCCACTAAATACAGTTACAGACCCACCATACTGCTGAGTCTTATTAAAGATTCATTAGTGTCTCTACTGCTAAATATTAGAATTTATAAGTATTATTCATTTCTAAGTATTTCATCTTTTTGAATATTGATAGAGTTTTATTGTCTTTAAATTGTTAAAAAGAAACACTAAAGAAAATATGTTTGAATATTGAAAGTGCTACTTTTAAACCTAAAGTACTTAGGAATATCTTTTTCCTTTTAGTAATGATCTTACCATTCATTTTATTTAAAAAGTTTCTCGTATTCTAGAACAGTGTATATATAGTCTCTGTTGCAACGTTTCAACTCTGTGGTTATAGCAAAAGGAATCACAGACAGTAGGTACATTAATTGGCAGAACTGTGCCCCAAGAAAAACTTTGTTTACCCAAATAGGCACAGGATTTGGCCTATGGATTATAGTTTGCCCATCCCTAATATAGACACCACAGATTGGGAAGTGGAGGAAGTCAGATAACTGTGTTTATTCCCTTTCTTCAGTGTAAATTTAATTAATATAATAAACACTACTCTTTAGAAAATTAACCAGAATGTTTTATTGTCCACAGACTTTCTCTCCACAAAGGTCTTTATCTCTACTTTAGTACTTTAGATTTTTCAGCCCTAAAAGCATTGAACCATTGTAAATGAATTATCTTAATACACTTGTTTTTTTTTCTTTTAAGATGTTAACACCATTGGAGACATAATTTTAAGTAACATGCTAAATATACTTCAGTCCACACTTCATGTCTGCTTGTATGTCAGATCATTTAAAAGTGTATATTATAATATTTAGGAGCCAGAGACTCCAACTCTAGTAGGAAGTTCTGTCACTGATCTGTATTTGCTTCCCTGTGAGTCATTTCCAGCTTTTGTGCCAATCCGTGATATGAAGGGCCTGCAGCACTTCTCTCCCCATCTTTATGAATTCCAAATACTTTGTGACAAACAAATATACCCTTCCCTCAAAATGTAAAAACGAGAGAAACTCCAGAGAGACCAACAAAGTCTTACTAGAGCCTAATACTGAGTTCCAGATAACATTTTAATTTTACTTGAAATCTGTAATCGCAACAGGCACGTTGTTTCAGTATGTACGGAAAATGTAATTTCGGTACGTTTTTAAAAGTGCGTAAAAGAAGAAGATTTACCAGTAGTTTAGCACACAGAAAGATACAACAGTTTTGATTAAATTATAGGAATAACGTTTTAAGATTGGGGAGTGATTTTGTACCCTAATACTACTAAGCTTTCTACACCATTTATACACTACTTTGTAGCTGTATTAGATAAAATGTTGGCAGATTTTCCACTGAGGCAAAACTATCGGTTATTGAGAAAGTTGTTGGAGATTGTTATCTATGGTCTTAAGTCATTCAAAAGGTTGTGGTCTTAATTTGTCATAAAGCTGCAAATAAACAGAACATCCTTTATCTCCTCTTCTATAGAAATCCATTGATGGAAATTACACAAGTCGTCAATTATTTCTCATCCCACAATTACAAACTACACTTATCTTCACATAGTTCATCATGGAATACTGGGTTAGGAAGAGGGAAGGAAGGAAGTACTTATTACTACAGTAAGTCATCTAAGGGTGTAAGTGACCCGCAGTCACCCAAGCTAACAAGGTGCCAATGCACGAGTCCCGCTCAAGTGTGTGACGCTGGAGCCTTTGCTGTCAATTACAAAGTCACATATACCTTTTTTAAATTATAGATCACACTGTAAACTTAAATTGGCATAACTCAGTCTTAGAGTCAAGATGTTTTACAACTCCTAGATGGTGGGGTTTGCATCTTTTATATGTGGGGGGGAGGAAGTTGAAGAAAACTTGGACCTGGTATTAGGAGATCAAACTGCAAGAGCCAGCTTTCTAGTCTCAGAGTACCACATGAAGATTTGACCAGCAGTGGGAAACATGTCATTTGCAAAACCCCTGAATTTCTCTGCATCTCAGTACTATAATATGTATAAAAGGGGTGTTAATTATTATCAAGCATGACAATTTTTAAATGTCTCTGTCTTTAAAAGAGATACTCATACTTAAAACTGAGAACAGTCTGGCCACATACCAGTGGCTCACACCTGTAATCCTAGCACTCCAGGAGGCCAAGGCTGGAGGATCCCTTGAACTCAGAAGTTCAAGACTAGCCTAAACAAGAGTGAGACCCAGTAAAGATAGAAATATTAGCCAGGTGTTATGGCAGGCACCTGTAGTCCCAGCTACTCAGGAGGCTGAGCCAGGATGATCACTTCAACCCAGGATTTTGAGGTTGCTGTGAGCTTGGCCAATGCCAAGTTTCACTGTACTTGGGCAACAGTGAGACTGTCTCAAAAAACAAAAGAAACTGAAAACAGCCTCAAAATTGCACCACAAAGCCCAAACAGGATCCTGATCTACTGTATTTTATGTCAAGGTAGCTTTATAGCTATGTCAGAATGTCCCCACTTCACAGGGCTCTCTGGTGCTTGCACCATGACAAGCATACAAGCACACCCTGCACCTCGGCTAGGCCTGGAATTGTCCTCAGAGGAAATGGGGAACAGGCCTAGTTATATTCTGGACCATAGCTCTTTAAGAGCTGGAATCTTCTGGAGTTGAGACCGTCAGGAGCTAACAGTACCTTGGCCTCAGGACCTTCCATGTAGCCATGTGTTTCCCCACATCCATGCTGTTCCCCCACCAGGAGCTGACCGGGTCCTTAAGTCTAGAACATTCTTCTTCCACTAAGCACCTCTCTCACATTCCACTATGAACACGGGTAGTGTAGGTTAGAGGCACCTTAAAATGGAAAGTCCTGTGTCTCAGAAACCTGTTGGATGCTGGTCAAACCAGGACCAATGGTCATGGGAGCTTTTGTGCTAAGACTAAGGTCTCAGGCATCGCCAAGGACCAGTTTGGCCCATAGAAATGTTTAACTGAGGACAGTGTTTCCCTTGATGCACGTCGATCCCTTTAGAATAGATGTGCATGTGGCTGTTGGAAGAACCCCCATCTCTCTCTATGGCTTTCCCATCAGCACTGTTCACTCATTCTCCACTTCTGAGGGCAGGGAGGGACTGAAAGCAACTGCAGGCTGCCTTTACGTCTCCAGGCAAGTATGCCTTTCTGTGAAGGTGTCACGAAGCTTAACATGTGTACAGGCAGTTCCTGAGTTACAAACATCTGACTTACGTGCAACTTAAAAACGTAAGCTCTTACAGTAAGTCCCCTAGGTACAAACATCTGACTGATGTCCAACTCACACTTACAAACAGAGACTATTACAGGTAAATGTAGCTATCCTACTTACATACAACTTTAAGAGCAAACCTGTAGAGCCTGTCTCATTTGTTTATAACCAAGGAACTGCTGCCTATCTACTTCTTGAGAAGATTTTTAGAAAGGGACATTCCTGAATTTTAAAACTCTCTATTTCCACAGGAAAGTAGAGGCAGTATTATAAACACTGATCTCCCTTACCTATTTATAAATCCACATAAGCAAAGTGGGGACCAAGCTCAACTGCTCTAGAACTCTGAGGGTCAATGTTCTCTCTGTGGTTAAAGAAAAAACCTTGCCTAATAATCTTGGCGTTTGGGGGCATTGTGTGATCCGTAATCCCAATGTCCCCTCCTCCTCCTCAACATGGCCTTCATCCATCTTTTCAAAAATTAACTGAGGGGTTAGAGTTCAGGATGACAATCACATCCAGGTTTATAGAAGTTTAGACCTCCTGAGGAGTTCTGTCAAGCTGTGCAGCAGAAAAGTACGATGCTTTACAACGGGCCTCTGACCATAGTGCAGAACACCAAGCAAGACTCTTCTACTCAATCAACAGGTCAAGAACAGCCACAGGGGCAGGGAGAGGTCACAACTCTCCTGGTACAGCTTGCCTGGACCAAAATTGCCTACAAGTGAAGTGATAACATTCTCCATGGTCTGTTCAGTCTCCAACTTGAAACTACTGACAAATAAATACATGAAGCTGGCCACCCCCACACACACTGACAGTTTGGGTCTCCATTCATTAGACCAGCAGCTGACTTTATGTTCACCCCCAAGCAGCACCCAAGTACTAAGATTTTTTTTTTTTTTTTTTTTTTTTTGAGACAGAGCCTCAAGCTGTCCCCCTGGGTAGAGTGCCATGGCATTACAGCTCACAGCAACCTCCAACTCCTGGGCTCAAGCGAGTCTCCTGCCTCCGCCTCCCAAGTAGCTGGGACCACAGGCGCCCGCCCCAACGCCCGGCTATT